GATCAGGGGGACATCACTGACGGTCTATTTATAACCGCCGAGCAAATTTAACCTTGACTATCTTCTTTTTTTTTCCACAGTGACCACACTTGCCTTTCACATGCCCAGAGTCAAACGTCATGTTTTCACACCTCAGCGTCATCTCATAACTCTGACTTAGATATGAAATATTCAAATGCTGCTCTCTGCCCGCTGGAATCGGCAGTGAGATTCCTCATCACAAGCTGGACACACTGTGTTCTCTTTGTTTCAGGAGGGGTGGGTGGAGGAAGTGGCCAGGACATGGGAGTCCGAAAACACCTGGACTCATCTGTTTGCAACATATTGTCTCCTAGGTTACTTTGGTCAGGGAGGAGGGGGGTATGATGCTTGTGCACGTGTATGCACGTGTGTCTGCGCAGGTGTGCAGAGGGATCCGAGCAGGCAGGCAGGCGCACCGGGTGCCTTTGAGGTCATGGGGCGAGGGTGGAGTGTTAGCGGGAACGACACCTGACAGCAACTTGGTGGAATGCGCCCTGGCAGTTCTGTACATTCACGTCACTACCGATAAAAGTCAGCAGGAGGAACCACAGCGCCGGTGCCACCGGTTCCTCCATACGGGGAGAGGAGGAGGAGGATGAGAACACTTCCGCCGGTCCTTGCCTGTCCCTCCAATGCTCAGTGAGCAGACGAGCCGGGACAGTTGCGGTGGCCATTGGTTGGGCAGGGGGGGGGGGGGGGGCCCCAAGGTTCCAACCTTGTCAATTCCCGAGGGGGGAGCAAAACCACGGGGGACCACCCAATTTGGAGGTTGGGAAACCAAACCTGGGGGCCTCTTATTTGGGTTGCGCAAACAACAAAGGCCAAAAAAGGAGGTGTGCAAGAACTTTGTGTGACGGTGAATGCTGCAGGAAGGCCACATGCGTCTCGGGGGGGTTTTTGCGCGTGGGAGAGTCTGCATGAACACCAAACAGCAGCGATGTGCCGGTGCAGTGCTGCAGAGCAGCTCGGTGATTCATGGCTATCGACTTTTCCTCAGGTCCTCTGGATCAATTCCACCGTCAAAATAAGAAACAAATCCCTGAGAATGATTTGATCATTAATGGTTTGGGCCAATCTTTAAGCATCTTGGTGTCGTAAAGGATGATACTCACCTGGGTAACAACAATCTGTCTGTTTCCAGCATCAAACAATACTGAGAAACATGAAGCCATACCAATTTACTCAAGGTTAAATTGTGCTTTCAAATAAACATCCACTTTTGAGGCCTTAGCTTGTAGTGTTTTACCGGATGCATCATAGCACATTGGTGATGCTTCCATTGGGTCCGCTCTGCGGCTGATAGAAGGCCAGAGACTGCCACCTAGTGCTCACAGAGGGAACCTTTTTCACATTTAGCTGCATTCATCACACTCCTAGTGCAGTCAAAGCTTTAAGTCGTCATTTTAAAAATTGCACAATGGCAAAGGGTCCGTGGCCTGCGGGGAACGCTCCCGCTTACTTTTCTTGAGAAAGCACATATCTGCAACTTTTGCCACATTGCGCTTTCTACCTTTGTGAAAATGAGGGCATCGCTTGGTGCTGTAACCAAAAGAATAAACCAAGCATCTATGGTGACATGTAGTAGCATTGAGGTGTGGGTGACCGGAGGAGGTGGTATTGTCTGTGCGTGTGGTAAGCGGGTGGGGGGGGGTCAGTGGACAAAGAGTGGGGGGAGGCCAACTTGGGCGTATGTGCTGCAAATTAGGCTTCGGTTGGCAGCCCTTGTGTCGGGGGACACGGGGCGGAGCAGAGTGCGGGTGTTTCTGACCCGGGGGGGAGACTGCTGACCCGGGTGCGAAAGGAGGGAGAAAGACAGCAGGCTGTGACGAAAAACTTGCTGGCGCTTTCCCCTCTTCCTGTCCGGGGGCCCTGGGGAACCGTTGCACGCACCTCTAAAGCAGCCTCTTATGTAAAAGGGGAAAGAGGCCTTCATATAAAACACAGGAGCAGCTTTTACAATCATGTTACGTGTCTTTATCTCATCTTAAAATGCGAAAGAGTGAAACTACTTTTTATTTATAAAAACAGGACTCCGAGCGATTGAATTTCTTCATAGACTACAGGTCCTTCCGGTTTGTTTTTGCTTTCTCTGAAAGCGCACACACACACACACACACACACACACACACACACACACACACACACACACACACACACACACACACACACACACACACACACACACACACGAGCGCTGCTGACACAGATTTGGAGTTTATTCACACATCACATACTACAGTGGGTAATGTATTCAAGAAACACTGAACAGCGCTGCCACATATGACACAGTAACAACAAAAAGGGAAAAGAGAAAAAAGAAAACACTGAACCCTTTCTTCTCCATTTTATAAAAATAGCGTTGCTACAAAAGTATAAATTAGGCTTACTAATAAGACAACTCAGATCTGAAGCTACACAGGTATCTGCTCTCAAAGTGCATTAAAAACAGAATAGACGCAACCCATTTTTGCATTTAAGCAGAGTATAAAAAGAATAGCCTGTAAAATAGGGTGAAAGCAACACTAATTTCTTAACCTGAATTGATAATACAGAGTATAATCCATGGTTAAAACAGAAAATGTCTCCATGTTTGCATTCTCATACCGTATTTTACAATTCTTATCTGAATAAGTTAAATTCCTGAAACAAAACAAAACTTACAGCGGATTCAAACTTTCTAATAACAGTATCTTAGTTGAGTTTTATATTAATATCAAAAACCTTTTGAAATGCTACTGTAGAAAATAGAGGTATAATGTTATTGGTGTTCCCTACTGAATCTCTGAAATGAAGGCTCCCCCTTGTGGCGTAAAACAGCAGTTCTCTTGTATTTACATAATACATCCAGTGAAAACGGATGATGTGAACCCATTAAACACCAACGTATCTTCAGCATTGCTTGTCCCACCTCGAAAGGTTTGAAATTCAGTCCCGGTCGCCCATCTGACTGTTGCGTGTCCTACAGGTAGCATCTACTCGTGAGCCCGTGTTTCACCTCGGTTGAAAGTGAATAATGTGGCTGTAAGTTTATATATCAGTACTCTATTAAAAGCATGCATATCTTGGATTATTATCATTTAAAATCAACAACAGCTTTTATGTCTAAGTTAAATCGTGTTGACGTTGTTACGTCGACAATGGCATTTTGTCCCAGAGCATATCCTATTTAAAATACTTTAAAAACATGTAAGAAAAATCCCTTCGTCAGTTCAATTCGGGATCACCTCTAATACCGCAGACTGTACAGTATTTTGACTATTTTAGACCAAAGCTCAATTTTGTATGAACATCTCATTTCCAACCTTTAAATTACAACATTACCTGCGGAATACTGAGGTAAAACATTGGATTGGTTCTTAAAAAATAAAAGTTTTAAATATAATTCATCCCAACCTTTTTTCTTTTACCAAAATATAAATGTTTGACGTTAATCAGTTGTACAACAGTATTATAGATATAGACTATCACAATGAAACTGTCCTGGTTACACTGGGTTAAGTAATTCTCCCCCAAACCGTAGAGGAGGTAAAACAGATGAAGTGTTAAAATGTGAACAAAAAAATAACTTCATTACAAGAACCCCAATGCAAAAAAAAGAAATGAAACAGGCCGCTTTCATGAAACCATCAGAGCAACCTGAAAACGTTCTTTGCCGACCGTCAGTAGTTTAACTTCTCATCTGGCCGCAGTGAAGTGCAGGTGTACTCAAACACCTTATGACATCACCACTGCACGCGGTTAAAAGTGCAACACGACACGTTTCTGACCACATCCATCCATCTGTCATCAGGGGGAAACGTTCAACCAGAGGGCAGCGAAGCCGCGCTCTTCAACCGCTCTTTAAAAAAGATAAAAGTATTTATGGAACACTAAAAATAAAGCCGTTAATCTAAGTGAGGAGGGAAACAGCCTACTTAAAAAAAAAATCTAAAAAAAAAAATCAACCTGATGTAGTTTGCAATGCAAAGCCATTCACCTTAGATCGACACGCGTGTTTAACACTCAATGCATTTATAATAAATGTGTATTATTCATGAAAACGTATACAACTGCATACAGGTTAACAGATTCTCAATTGAACGAGACGGGTCTCTTCCTTATTTTATACACTTTAAACTATTCACTAAAATTTCCATGCGCAGTGTACCGACTCAACAGTAAATTCTGTGTCCTTACACACTAAAAAAGGTGGTCATGTTTCACAAAACTGCCCCACAGACGGTCTATGAGGTCCATCAGTGTGCTGATGAACAGAACAAGGTGGTGCCACAGTGAGGAATAGTGACGTTTCCACTTCAAAGTCCAGATATCGAATGGTTGGATTTGTCCAAATAAGTTAAAATGAAATGAAAAGGCGACCGAGTAAAACGTTTATCGGGTGTAACTTTAACTTGGGTTGTATTGAGGCCTAAAATCTGGGAAACACGTAAACAAAAAGATCCCGTTTCTCTCGTTAGAGCAAAGGACCGTTTGTTTTAAATATTTCAATCTGGACTCAAATAGTGCGATGCGGCCAAATCACTTGCTGCTGAACAAAATCCATACGAGTCTCATTCCACCATAATCCGGATTGATGGAGCTCGCTACTCTGACGTGGACGCTTGTGCGGGTTGTGGTTGGAATTCTTTGCCTATTATTTGGTAAACCGACAGAGGACTTATACTTTGGGACGCAGCTCTTGTAAAATACCGGTTGAAAGTCCACGTTTGTCCAATAGAGGACACCGTTTCCACCCACGAGCCAGAGGCCCCTTCGAGTCCGCCGGAGTCAAGAAAACTACAAGCGCGGTGAAGAGAAGGCCATTGAACAGCAACACAGAGGCATGAACCAGACTCATGGTCCCAAAAACAGTACTAGTGGCTGACAAATTTAGTACCAAGGGCAACAAACAAACGCATTTACAGTACAACCTCCAGCCACGTCAAGTCATTTCGGGAGGCATTAGCTACTGAAATGTATACTAGAGTCCATAGCAAAAATAAAACGAGTGGATTTTTATTAATACTGGCAGAATCTTTTATCCTGAAAACCATGGAGCCTCAGTCATGCATTCATTTGTTGCAAATGGCACTAACTGTATTTGGGGTGGAACGTTTCACAAAAGTCACGGTCCGGTACGTACTTTGGCATTGAGGTTAGTTTGGTGTGTTTTTCGGTAAAGTGAGGAGAAAGTGGAGGTGCCTGCTCGGGTGCGCTCATTCCTGAGAAAGTCCCGTTTATCTGGAGAGGGTTTTTATTTTTTTATCATTAATAATTAACCAGGAGTGTCACGAGGCCAGTCATTTTCAATGGGTAAAGTTGGAAAATATGATAAAGCGTATCGCTTTATAAATGAAAACATCTCGCTCACATAAAGAAGACTAGATGTGTGTTAAAATGATGAATGAAGAATAAATTCAAAAGTATTGACAGTTTATATCGGAAAAAGAATATTCCGTGATGGTTGACGGTAGATTGATGTTCGACTGTTTTTTTCCTTGCTTATTGATTCCTCTTTTTTTTCAGCTTGATATGGAAAATGATTGATGAGGAGTATTGTCAGATTCATGTTCCTACGCTTTCTGTAGTAATGACAGAGGAACGGTTTCTCATCCAGCTCGATTTTGGCGCCTGTGAATACAACTTTCAGTCCCAATTACATTTCCCACATTGTAGCAATCAACCGACAGAAAGGAGAAGACGGCGAAGCCGAGAGACATTCTCAAGAGACCCAAAACACCAACACTTGTTGCGTTGCGAACCCCGGTTTCGAAGTTGATTTTGGAGAACGTTCATGAATATATATGATCTGTCACAGTTGTTTAAGGAATGATCCTCTATTTCATTGCCACATTTTGCCGCCACTGCTCCGATTTGACTGTGACAAAGAGCAGTCTTATATTGAATTGTTGTACAATCGACTATTCGGGGGTCACCCCCAAAGAACGATGTAGGTTTTCAGAGGTCGACGACAGTAGTTTCAAACAGAAAAAAACTGGGGACTTTACCTGAAAATGATGTCATCCAGTAACAGCAACAGCATTAAAGCCTATTAGCAGTTCATTGGATGGAAGTCAATCCAATCGCTGGCACCATTGAAACGGATCCTGCTTATATGTGCATCCCAAACCGCGAGTGGTGTACCAAATAAGCTTTTGAATTACCGTTCCACCCCTACATTTTGTCCACAGTACTCAACAACAACCTTTCTCAATAACAAAATATGTACTAACCCGATTGTTTGAGTTTGTGTTGCCTGTACAACGGGAGTTTCGTCTGAATACCTTGAGAAGTTTCGGACACATACGTTTACAGTTGGTCTACGCCTACAGTACATAAATAGTCTTCAGTCATTGGTTGGAGGTGAAGGTTTGGTTGATTACGGTCGGTGGAGTTTCTCTTCTAGCCCATATTGGAGCGGAGGAAGATGAGCTTGTTCATCTCCTCAGCGGTCACCTGCTGCCTCCTCTTCATGGCCAGGCTCTGCTCGCAGACGGTCACGCACTCCGTGCGGATGCCCACGGCGGGCACGGCGAGGAGCCACATGGCCAGGCGGGAAAGCCGGGGGAACTTCTCGTTCACTGCGGAGCCCCAGTACTGGAAGAGGTCGGGGGAGCCTTGGAGAAGAGGCTCAGCTAGGTATTGAAAAATCTCTTGTTTAACCTGGACCTGAGCCTCATCGTTCCCGGACCCCGTGCAGGATGAGGAGAACCCCCTTGAGGTGCCGCCGTTATTGTTGTTGTTGTTTCCCCCTCCCTCTACGCGGCTTATCTTAGGGGTCGGCGGGCCGTCCGCATCCCGCTCTTCACCGCCCGAGCCTGCGGTCATACCTCCGTCCCGGGTTTCGGCGGCCATTTCACACGCGCAGGAGACGATGTCTTCATGCTGGTAAGCCGGCACTGAGCACAGTTTGAGCTGCGGGTCGAGGATCATGGCCACCTGGTGGGCGCGTTCGACCTAGAGACAGACGCACATTACAGTGACTCCCAGTTCCTCCCAAAACTGTCAATGCACGCATCACACGGATCTCTCTAGGGATGGGTATTAATCAATATTTTATTCCTTGGAATCAAATGCTCTTGTTCACTAATTTTCAAATAATTACTGCTTTACATTGCTTGAATAAATAGTGCATGGCTGACAGTGTCGCAAAGTTCAATAAAAATCTAGAAGCATTGGTCTAAACGGCCAACACTAAGCTATTCCTTACACCATTTATAAATCGCATCCCTTTAAACGAAGTGCTTTTTGAGAAACATTATGAGGTCAACACCAGCTCAGTACCTTGAAATTTTCTTTAAGGGCTTCCAGGAAGTAGTGGCAGAGTTTGCTAGCCGTGCCGGTTCCAGCCTCCCCCGCTTTGGAGGTGAAAAACTTCTCCAGGCGAAGGTACACGGGCAGCACCTGCTGTAAGGTCGGCCTCCTCTGGCTGCTCAGCTCCAGCGCGGCCAAGCGCAGGGGGGCCAGCAGGCAAGACAGCGTCCCCAGCAGGTGCTTGTTGAGGCCCTGCAGGAGGGGAGCCGTGGTCTTACTGCGTCCGTAAGCCTCGCAGATCTGTTCAAAGTGGGCGTGGACCTGCAGCAGGGCCTCCGCCGTACGCTCCCAGCACGGCGGGGTGGGGCTTTGCGCGGTGCTGCCGCCGTCCTCCGTCGCGCTCGCGGACGTTTTGCCGCAGTGGTCCTCCCGAAGGGACAGCGAGGCGGAGGCGGCGATATCCCGGCACGTTGAGAGAAGCTCCACCAGCTCGTGGAGGCCCCGGGCCTGGAGGCTGCGCTTCCCGAGGACGGCCTGGACGACGGCGCCGAGCGAACAGCCCGCGCACCGCAAGCATATCCTGCCGCGGCCGCCCCCGCCGCCGCCGAGCGGGGATCCCGCCACTCCTGCCGCCCACACTTTGGGCTCGGAGACGTAGACGGTGCGGATGTCCGACATCACAAACTCGGACAGCACGTTCTGCACCCAGTGTTGGATCTGCTCGGGACCTTCCCTCAGCTCCGCCTCCCTCACGCCGAGCACGTAGCGCTTCAGCCGCGCCCCCTCCGCCTGGTAGGCCGTGAGGACGTAGCAGGCGTCCGGGCCGCACGTCTGGGAGTGGCAGGTGACGGCGATGCCGAGCGAAGCGTTGGAGCCGAGGGCACACGTGACTTTGACTTTGATCTGGTTGTACATGCGGGGCAGCTGACGCAGCGCCAAGGCACTCATGTTGCCGAAGGCGTCGCGGGTGGAGTAGGCGCCGTGGCGAGCGCCCGTGTCCACCAGGGTCTGTGCCAATTTCAGGAAGTCCTTGCTGTTGAGCACGTTCAACATGCTCAGGTCCGAACACATGACCCGCAAGAGGCGCTCGGCAACCTGCTGCCGCTCCTTCTCAGGTAGTCCGTTGTTCTCTGCCAGCAGAGACAGCAGAAGATAATTAGTGTTTTATAATTCAACATCTCAGTGTCTAACAGAAATGTGTAGAGACAGTTTTACGATAGGCCAACAGAGGCTCCTTAGTTATTCCATTTCAACAATTTCGGTGTACGTAGAGTCACGGGGTGAGATACAAACTATGTCCATGGTCCATGTGGGCGGTGGGTGGCAGAACTTACGGCTGACTGTGTGGTTCCTCTGGGGGAGACTCTGAGGCTGAATGGGTAGTTTGACGGGGGAAAGGGCCTGAGCCTGAGAGCTCCTCCACAGCTGCTCCTGGGCGCCGGAGGCCGAGGTGGTTTGGGGAGACTCCTCTTTCGTGTGGTTCTCATTGTCCGCTGGAGGAGATACAAACATGGAACATCAGGCAGAGGCGACGATGATGCATGGTTTCTATGGAGAAAGCGTGTTTTGGGTGTATCCGATGGAAGAAAATGTGAGGAAGAAAATGATGACACAAAATTAAACAAAACAATTATTAGCAAAAGAAAAATGACAAAGATGTATTGACTGGCCTCCCTAAGTCTGTCATTAACAAATGGATTGACGGTTTACAAGAAATATATATTCCTGTAGATTCACACAAAGATCAGCCACAAATTGTGCAGGGTTCGTCTTTATATGAAGGTCAGTAAACAATAATTCGGAAATAAAAGGAACCAAGAGCAAAACATGATGTTAAAATATCAACTGGCGCACATGTTTTGTTTGGATGAAAGTATTTTGAGAAAGGACAGGCATCATTATTCATTCGTAGGAGGGTTAAATAAGCTGCTATTTAGTCATTTATCAAGTAAACAGATTGTGTTCGCTTCTCAAATGTGGGTAGTTTTTCATGCCGCTAAACTTAGTGGATAAATTAAATGTTCTGCTTTGTGGAACGAGGTCTTGAGCTCACTGAGCTGAAGTACTTAGTTAACTCCAATACTTTTTGTGCTGGTGGCGATGATTTGTGGCCGTTTTTTTGTGTGCTCTGGATTGGTTTCTTACTCATTCATAAAATTGAACTGTGTGCTTGTGTTGTTGTAGAATACTAAACATTTATAAAGCAGCATGTTAGCAAAGGATCGGAGGGTCTTGTTTTTGTGTCGTATTATCGTTTGTCGAGTAAAGATCGCATGTGATGGATACAAAGCTCACAGTGCTGCCGCTGGTTGCTGGAAATTGTTTCTCCATTTCTGACGCTAAATGATTATTCAATTTACAAAAGAATAAAAAGATGACGATCCACTGTGTACATGATTACATGTGACACTAAAACGTATCCAGCAGCCTCAGAACCAGATCTGCCAACAACCTTGATTACAATAATATATTCGTTGGAACTTTACAATGTTTTGTACCGTAATCAACAATAATATATTACGAGTGATTACTCTGCTTTTCACATGCTGTTGACATCTTGTACTTTACTTCCCTGTCCAGCTCAACATGCACTTGTAGTAGTGGACTCACCAGCGTGGGACTGCATGTGCTCCAGCAGGTTGTTGTAGAACTGGAACTGGATGCCACAGGCACCACAAGTGTAGGGTTCTAAAAAATCACAAGGCCCAGAAGAGCGTTGACTCTTTGATGGAGGAGGAAATAAATACACTGTCCATCTTCTCTATAGCCTCCCTGCTGTACACGCCGGAAGTCAGTTCCACCAACATGTTGCGGCTTTTGTGATCTTTTTAAAAGCTCAAAATCGACTCAATTTGTAACAGTATTTGAAAGTAATTGTGATGCAGTTTGGAATGTTCATGTTGTAGCATCCTGGTGGGGTTTAAGGCGCTTGGCAATGTAATCACATGTCCCTGGTTTGAAAAGCCTCAGAATCATGTCACCAACGACTCCTACATCTCAAATCAATCTAATGAAAAAGCAACTCAAACTAAAAGAAAAACAAATGTAGAAATCAATGTTTGGATAAAAAACATGGAATAAATGTGCATCGGCTTTTGCATCTGCCATTCAGACAACGCGTCTAGTGTCAACCATTCCGTTCTGACATTCCTGAGTGATAATGTGGCTTAATCCCCCCCAAAGAATCCGTTTGATCACAATGGATTACAGAGAAACCATTTACACCACACAATGAAAGATTCAACCAAAACTGAAGCATACGAGAAAAAAGGTGAAATGAGAAGGAGGCGGCATGCGTATCTCATGAAGGTCGGACTTACTCTGGGTTGTAGAGAAGGTACCGGCCACCAGAGGGCTCGGAGTTCCTGTGGACACGAGAATAGGGAGGGAGTTACATCCAGACGGAGAGAGACTTTCGGTGCCTTTAGTATTTAATGTTAATCTCTTAAATGACGAGCATGATTTGCAAAAAAAGAATCACGGAAATTTTGATGAGTGGCTCATGACGATATAAATTGCGTACAACCAAACTTCAAAACAAGTCATTGTGAGCAAATGTATACTTTGCTGCAGGATTGAAAATACCTTTCACCAGAAAGAGCAGAAATTATACATTTCCACACAAATACACTCACCGCTTGAATTCTGCGAACTGTTTGTGTCAACCAGACTAGACTGAATTGCACTTTCCAGTTTCCGCCTGAACGGACTGTCTGTGGGTCAAAACACAGGAGAAGCACTGAGTGACACGGTCATGCTATATTACGTGGATAGAATTCTTGATTCGAGCTGCAAAGCCGCACGGTTCATTTCGGAGCAAAGTCAATTAATTGCGGTTCTAGTTTGTGCAACGTGAATCAATCACAGTAACCGCCTCAACAAAGGATGCAAAATTCTCAGATTACATTTAAATGCTGCTTTCAATTCCCCGTCTTCATTCCATCTTTTTGACCCACTTCTCAGACACGAGCGCGTGGCGTGCTTTAAATAGTAATGGCAGAGCGCTTCTTGGCAGAATGGTGGAGGCACCACAAAATACAGTACCAGTTTGGAAAATTCGTACTGTGTTAACAATGGGCTACTTGTGTGTAAAAAAATAATAATAATTTGATTCTACTTTGTCATAATCACAAAATACACATTTATATTAATGTGTTTGGAGGCTTGAGGCAATAAATAAAGCATTGGAAAAGAAAAATATTTAAATGCACTACTTAAAAGTGTGTATTTTGTACAATTTGCTGCAGGTTGATTGCTTCCACGTTTGTGGAAACCCTGCTGGAAACTAAGTGACCCAGAACCTTAAACTGCATTCAATATTTTCGGGTTCTCTTAAATCCTTTCTCCACTGGCTCTCTGAAACACCTTTCAGCCTGCATGCATCGTGCTCTTATGAATTCCAAACCCACCCTCACAGCAGCACTCTAACGTTATAGTGGCGGCCCCTGTGCTCAAACCCAGCTATGCTAAAATGACACTCCACAAACAGGCTGCACTTTAAAAAGACAAAGTTCAACATTACTGGCAATAGGTCACCGCGTTGTTTTCCCTTTTTATTTATTTAAAATATCATTTGTCATGTTGACAACTCGGCCGTTGTTATGCCTTTACGTAGTATGCTGCATGATGATGAGCTTTGATAAACAAATGTCAATTACTCACCCTCTGTGTGCATGGATAGATTTTCTATAATACAACGCATTAAAAAAGGAAGAGTAAAATAATGCTTACTTTTGATCTTGCCAGTTTGGCTGTGGCCAAATTTACTCCTATCCATACTTGCACACTCCTGCAACCGTGATGTCTTCAAATCGAAGGAGCCTGAATCCAGATACATTCTCAGTCATCTTACAGTGGTGAAATCCAACCTTTACAGTACCGGCACTTTTTTTCCCTTACCAAAGATGTCGACATTTAAAAACAAATGACTTGACTGGTGTTAGCACAATTTGTTATATTTGAAACAAACGATATGTCCACATCCTACAAATCATGGCTTTAAGCTGTAACTAAACAGGCTCACCCATTGGCGTGTGAAGTGCGACGTGCTCCTGGTACGGGTTAAAATACTTGTACTGCTTCCCACAGAACTCACAAACGTAGCTTCCAGTTTCTGCAGGACAAGACAGCACACAATCAAACCCTTTCTTTTCAGAAAGATCCTACAATGTTATATTTTTTTTAAACTCTCCAGTTACTAGTATTTGATTGCGTGCAAATTAAAAAAAGAGGCACCGAACCATTTGTCAATAATGTATTTTTCTAGTAAGGACAATAAGAATAGAGAAGATCAAAGAGCCGGTCATGTTGTCTGTATTTTTCTCCCCACAACTAGAAATGTTCATTTGGCAATACCTCAATATTAGAGAAGAAAATAAAAAAAACTCTGCAAACGACAGCAGAAGCTTTGAATTATTTCATTTTGAATGACATTCGATATCCTGCCATCTGTGGCATTTAGTAAAAAGAGTGATCAGACAGTCTTACTTGGTCCAATTTTCTGGTAGGGTTCAACTGGCTCCTCCTCTTTAAGGCCGTCCACAGGTAACACGACCTGTTCATATGGATCTGAGAGGGAGGGTGAAATTAGTTTTAGGGTGGAAAGGGCATCTGACTGTTCACACATGTATTTATACCGTTTCTACGCTCTTAACAAAGACAAGAAGTGAAAGAGCAGTTCACGTGCAAAGGGAGTAATCTTACATTGTCAAATTACACCAATTGCTTAAATCGAGGGATTTACGTGCACTGGCGTAACAATAAAAATACATAATCGTCTGTCCCAAATTAGTGTATCAACTGTGTTTAGGTTGTCTCTGTATTCATTTTCTTTTTGTAATCATTGTGAATAACTATGCTACTTAGATTGTGTTGCTGCTGCTGGAAGTACAGATTATGATTCTTATAAATGGATTTCCAAGTTTTTGAGTTTCAAAGAAAAGCATAATTGTCATGAAAATGATCCAAAGACTCTTGGTTACCGTCAACAGCATGCAGGTCACGGTGCTCCTGGAAGCAGCTGTAATATTTATACTTCTTGCCACAGATGTCACAGGAGTACCGGAAGCTATCTGCAGATCAAGAGATTAAGAGAGAGACCAGCATTGGTTATGAAGACAATGGATATTTTGAGGATGACTAAAATCCCGAAATGCGAACGGGGTAAGTAATTACTTCGTAACAAAGAAGCGACGCTTTGGTGCAGTTTGCAAAAGAGAGAGCAGGTGCTGCTACAGTGAATTCACTTTAACCAACCGGAGAATTAAACACGGCAATTTGATATGTTTGGAGAAGCAGTTGAACATATTGTACCCCATGTTGTTCAAATTGCTTTTCACATTTGGGCAAAAATTATATTTTACTTTAGCAGAGCAAGAGAACCAATTTTCCAAACTGGAGATTTTACCATTGATGATTATTTCCATGAATACCATTTAAAAAATTAAAAAAATTACGCAAGCAAAACTAATTTTATTCAAGGCTGCAATTTAAAATTCGAAAAGAAGAAATTCAAATGTGATAACGTAGAATAGTAAAACTGAAAAATCTGTTCATCCTATTTGGAATATGCTAAACTGTACATATTAGCAGATGATGAAAAATTGATTTCTTTAAACTACAATACTGATATTCAATTTTTCCATGACCCCAATCACGCGACATTTGAAAAGCAATTTGAAAGGGAATTAATATTGCTTCTTGTTCACAAGATTGATTTATTCAATTTCCTGATCGTCTGGAGACAGTTCAGAGAGTGGAGGGACATGAGGGACGCAGATTCCTTTCCTATGTTCCTATGAACAGCATGACATCAAGCAACTGTAATACAAATAAATACAGTTCTCCTTTCATTATTTCCAGTTGGTGCAGGTTTAGTGTTTTCCAATACAATGTTTGCCCAGCAGAGGGCCCCTCACCTTACACACCCGTGTGACAAATCGTTTATGATTTAACACCAGAGCGAAAAACTTTTAATCTTTCTCAGTCCGTTCACTCTGCATTCTTAGTTGAATTCCTGAGGTATTCCAAAAATGTATTTAAATAACATACAAGACATGTTTAGTCTTCTCTGGACTAATAATTGACCAATAAGTCTGGATTTTTTATCAAAAGTTGATGCTTGGGTCAGGAAAGCAAAGAGGATTAAAAAACGTGAATGTTCTATTAATTGGCAACTAGGAAATACATCTATTAAAAAAGGGGATTATTTGGGTAACAAACTAATTGCATGTATAATACCTCAAGGCCCCAATACCGTGCATGATCTAGAAATATAAATTGATGTGATTAAAACGGCTTTGGCATTTGTCAAATACATTTAAACTTGTAACATTATTGCTCCGAGCTTAAATGAGGACACATTCTGATTAAAATCAATAACACAATAACACAGCTAATCTGCTATAGGAGGCATGATCCTTTATAAGGTTGGACTCGTCTCTGTACGAAACCAAGGACAGATGGACACATCCCAATCTGATGGAAACAGACTAACTTTTCCCTTCGAGTGGCTCAAAAAGAAGAGAAAAAAAAAACTTAAGATATGGCAACCTTGAGCGTACTGGGATTCGGAATAAACAGAAAAATCAAGCACCGCTTTTGATGGAGGACAAGGAAATTTTTCAGAAAAAAAACTAACACCAAAGGAAAGCTTGCATTTTTTAAAGTTTAACTTGCACGCTGTCTGCCAAAGTAACAACTGAAAAAAGAATCCATTTCATGTTTGATTTTGCAATGAATAATCGCAGGGTTCTAAATACCCAATGCAAGGACATCCACAAAGCTTCTGCACGGACCAAAAAGAAATGAGAAACTGATGACAATCAAGTAAAATCTTCGCTCAAAGTATTACGAATCGCTGTCTTGGCCTCTCACTTGTTGAAGTAAATTTGTGAAGAAACTAGACTTTTTGGCTCACTGAAGCAATACCCCACTAATCCCTCTAGTTTTTGTTTTTTTTAATGAACGGCTGTTTTTGATCCAACGGCACAGTCTGTCAGAACTACAGCAAGTTGGTTCAAGCTGGGCTCTGGCATCATTTTCATGAGTTGGTCTTATAATGCCGACTGGCAAAGATCCAGAGTAGCTATAGTAACCAATTACAGGAACAAGGCTTGTGTTAAGCAGGCTTAGAGTCAAGGTTACATTAACATGGAGACTTTGTTTTATGTTTGATCAGGAAATCCATACTTAGTTTTTTATAACAACGGATAACTAGCTTCTTGTTTGAGCTTTAATTGTTGCCATTCTTGCACTGCTCATGGAACCAAGTACCATTTCCAAATTCTCTTTTGAAATTGGCATGCTAGTTGTTTTTGAGTGCAAAGGGTTTGATTTGAGAGCAAAGGTTTTTATTGTTTTGAGAGCAAAAGGTTTTTGATTTGCAGACAAATTGTAGTTTCAAAAACAACACATTTTTTATTCTCCGTTTATAGATGCTTAAAAACTTGTTTTTTGATTGCAGTGAGAGAAATCTGCTCTCCAAAGATTTGTTCTTGTTTGGGTAATAAAAACACAAATATACAGTCATAGTTTAACATGACCAAATCAACCAAAATAACAAAAAATAATTTACAGCACGCTCCACTCTCTCAAGAACTAAATCGATCTGGTTGTCGTTTTATTAGCCGAGCAGCTTCTCTGGCCTACTCACTACACGGTCACAGACCTTTTGGTTTCGCCAGGTTTGTATTCCTCATCGAGCTAAATAAATAATACAAGTCTGTTCTTTTCGCTTTCCTTTCTGCCATGATGACAGTGGTGCCTTTAAGGGATGTGCACATTCACATTATGATTGCTGTGAGTGAGTGTAGGAAGCTTTATAAATAACTCAAGTACTACTCTGAGGTAGGAGTCATTTTTAGTCCTAATCAAGATTGGGTTTACTGCGATTCCTGGGAGTGGGTTTAAGAGGCCTGATGAACACAGGCCCTGCGAGCTGGTGTACAGTTAAAAGAACATCGCCAGCATTACCTTCCATTCAATGTTTTCTACACTTACATTTGAGGAACTGATTTCGTCAGACAAAATATAAAAATCGGGATAATCAGAACATTGCATCCAAACATGAGAAATGTTGAGGCAAAAGCTGGATGCGGCCTTATAGGTACCTGGTATTAGGATGTCACCTATGGGAAGGCGGCTACAGTGAGGAGACAAGACTGATGGGAGAGAGGGAGGGGGACAATGAGGGTAGATTTAGCCTGCTAAAGTCACTTAGACACAAACTGTATCAGTTATAAGTTGTGGTGGATTGTTTTTAGTCAGCTTTATGAAAATCTTATACATTATTATTTAGTTAAAACAACATCATGTCTGTTAAATGAGCAGGTGTGCAATAAACAGCTTGTGCTGGCGTGCTAATTGACTGGAGTGTGTCGACTGGTTGTACTCACTGTTGGGCGTCTGGGGGAGGCCGTCTGCAACCATATTATCGGATTCTATAGTGGATGAAAAATATATATATAGATTTAAATTGAAATATGTGAAAAGATGGATGTGACAAATATTCCTATGACGTGTTTAAATGCCAAAAAAAAAAAAAAAAAAAAAACTGAACCAAATACAATCCAAAGCCAAAACAGGACACGCATGACTCATTAAAGACTGGGTGAATCATATTTTTTGGGAGCGTACTGTCAACGAGAGGAAAAAATCAAAGCGAGCAGCCCGTCATTATTTAGCTACGCCATGAAGAAACGGCACACGTCTTACCTCTGTGTGCCCTGACGTGGGTCTGAAAGCAGTTATAATACTTGTACTTCTTCCCACACACGCCGCAGACATAGGAACCTGCGTGAGGATTCACATCAGTGTCAGAAAAACAATACATCCTAATTCTCTATCAATGTCCTTGGTAATCCCCAACATAACCACGGTGAGTACACATTCCCGAATAACACTCAATATCGTTGTACTAAGGCACACGTAGATGTCCCTTTGCACAGAATGTTTACAGCGTTTGTCTGAAAGGGAAGAATTAGTCCATCTCTGCTAGAGGGTGAACAATAGTTGGTCTTTCTACTTTATATTCTGTGAACGAGGGTACACTTAATACTAAAAAAAGACTCAAGGATTATCTCTGGCCTGTTCGATTAGACTGCAGTAGTCTTAACTAGGTGTACCTTATAAACTGGCAACGGAAAATACATGTATTGCATTTGTGTATTTGCGCGAATGAATAGCAGATTCAAATATGAGCAAAGCAAAGAAAGCCTCACTTTCAAAACCAATTTGTCTTCAGCCCCAATGGTAAAGTTTCCAGCCTTGCAGATAAAATTGGTTTAATTCACCCTGGTTTTTAGATGTCAGTATTCCGGATGAAAATATAATTCTAAATACGACTTTAAAAAAGGTGAATGGAATCCCAACTGTGCTCACCGGATTGGGAAATTACATTTTAAATATTCAACCACAATAACTTACTGTAGGGGCCAATTCTTCTACAATACAGAGAGGTCATTGGATTAATCCTCAGTAACAGAGTGCTCGTTTCAAAAAAAAAAAAAAAAAAAAAAAGTTGCCGCTATGAATTCATCAAAATCTCATTTTAGATGCTCTGTGGTCTGCGTGTGTTTTTTTAGTCTGTCGGGAAGCAAAAGTCGAGGTCGAGAGACACCAGACGAGATTGCGGTCAAGAGATGCACGTGTATATATATGTATACAGCCACATGTATGTACACACACCTATGCATGAGTCTGTGCTCTTCGTTGGAGGAGGAGTACCAAGGGCAAACATACCCTCGGTCTGAGATCTACGGGATCCACCTCCACTTGCTCCTCCGTCATTTCCTCCAATGACAACACAGATCTCAGCGGGTTTGGCATCGCCAACCCTCCCGTTACTCGTCTCCGAGGTGCCGGGCTCTTTCTTTATCGTGACGGCTGGCGGACTTGCGGTCTTGGTCCTCGGGACCACGCTTCCGGCCGCACTCGCGCCGTCCGCCTGCTGCTCCTTCCCGGGGTTGGTTGCCTCTTGTGCACTCATGACTCCGCCTCCTCTGAGCCCGTGCTTCTGAACGAGGGCGGAAAACAACAAGAGAGACAAGACAACAACTTCACTCGACTGCGCGGTCACAATATACGTTCTTGATTGGGCCAATCATTTCTTACAGAGGAGCAGGGCAGCTTTGATTTGAACGCATCTAGAGAGGAGCAGGCTGAAACATTACAAGCAGGCGCCTGCATCCGACCACTATTTGAAAGACGATGCAACCGCCCCTCTTTTTCTCTCAATACAGTCAAGCGATGTGTGAGCTCAAAATGCCCCCACGTGTAATTTATCAGTAACGGATTTATTATAAGAAGAGAAAAAATAAACTGGCAAAATAAGTAGCTTAACAGTTCATTAGTGGCGTTTGATGGCGTTTCACAACTTTGCGGCACCCAAATGCTCCAATTTAAAAAAGTATCTAACTTACCCAACTTGCCAGTCCAGGACAAGGCTATAAAAGGTCTTGGCGGGAGGAAAGAGCTCAAAATGCAACCATGCAAAACTGAGTTATGCCAGGATGGCTGATATTATGGAAAGAGGGGAAATTGGTCTTCTAAAAATAGCCCACCAATACAGCAACAACAGGCCTTCCCATGGTCCAATACACCTTTCTTTGGATGTGACATACAACCGAGAGGCATCAGCAAACACGACCGGGATTTGCTTAATGACACACAACTTTAAAAAAAAAAAAAAAAGGTTTTCAGTTGCAATTACATTCCTTAAAGTTTAGATAAATAAAAGTATGTGCAACACTGGAGGTTGCAAAAGTGGTGCAATTTTTTGATTGCCTCGTACCATCTATAACCTTTGTAAGAAACAAGCTTGAACATTACTTCACGTAAAATTGCAATTTCCTTGAGTCATAAAAACAGTATATAGATTTCATTAGAGTTCAGTCAATTTTTGTATCTTGTGATTAACTCCCGTTGGGGAGGTCAGTCGTGTCTTGGAGTGGATAAAACCAGTCAATCAGCAGACAGAGTCGGCAACTATTTTGCTCATCAGTTCATAAATTGAAAACTTTCAAGCAAACAAATGCATTTTGGAATTGTTTTTCCAAAAACAAGAGACATCAGTTTCATATGTAAACATAAAAAGTCACACATATATTTATATGTTGACGTAAATATAGTCAGCCTATTTACAGGCCAGGGCAACAGCCAATCACATCGGACTACTTATTCATAAGGAGTTGCTTATTTATTCAATATTGTCCACCGTGGGCCACCATACAGGAGCAGGAGATGTACAACAGCGGTTTAAGAGAGTTCATGAAACTAGTGGTGGCGCTTTGTAGCAGAACTTTCTCTGGTAGGAGAACATCCTACCATGACACGTCTAATCCCCCGCACATACAAACAGGGACGAGTCGGCATTGTTCTTGTATGAATGACCCGGTAAAGGCCTTCGCTCAGCTTCACTTAACAAAACAAATGACGACAGCAAAAAAAATACGGACTCTCGAATTTGATGGTTGAAGAGTAAACGTAGATTTACTCGCCGACTGGTTTGTGCATAGAAATATGGTGTCATTTTGTTTCTCTAATATTCTACATAAACAACACGTTATGCTTTGAAAAGACAATGGTGAAGATTAAATGCGCGGTTGGGGCACTTAAATACGTTTAAGGGACATTATCTCTCTAAACGTCTTGCGTTGATTCATTTTAAATTAATTTGTTTGAAGTCAAATGAGGTCGCATTACATCACACGTGAACAGAAACATTGAGCCGAATTGAGTTTTTCTTCTGACCTTTCATTACGAAATGAGCTCACGACCCAGATTATTTAGGGGTCCTAAGAGGGGCCCGACCCCTGGGTTGGTAGCCACTGGACTTAACTAGTAAGTCTATATGAAGTTGCTAAACTCCGCTGCGACTGACTACACATCCGAACGGTCACAAGGGCCCATTTATCTTCAGAAGAGCGTTTAACTTTGTGATCTAGATGATAGTACTTTGCAATTGGACTTGTAATGAAATAACTAGTTTTATTGGAGCAAAGGACCGGAGTACTTCTTCCCCCCCACTGCTCATGACTTTCAGCAACCGAGTCTTCCTTATCTATGACAAGTCTGCTTTTGTTCAGGAAAGGAACAGCAAAGTCTCTGTTAGCAAGTTTTATGTGCAGACTGTGCTAACAAATGGACCTCAGTGCCGAGTAAACACTAGCAGCCTATTCTGGAGCTGACAGGAGTTAGCTGGCGGACATGAAAATGAAATAATGACTAAATTAACTGACTTTTGTCATCTTTAACCAAATGAAATAACGCCGGATATCTCAATAAGGTCCCTGAGTTATTCCCTGTGCAGCATTTTAAATGCATACCCTGAATTTAAGAAAAAGATCTCCTCTAATAAAAAAAAGGCTAGATGCAACATTTACGGCATCGCGTTCTTTCAGTCTCCTGACATGCTGCAACCTACAGCGCTGTGCAGAAGGAAAATCTAAACCAGATGCACATTGGCTTGATGGTCCTCACAAATAAGACCCAACCTCTGCCAACTAAAACAAAAAGGAAATATAGTTCAATTAAATCATCAAACACAATTTGCATAGAAGGAGAGATACTACGACTGGAATATTGTGATTTATGTCAACCTATTAAACCGCTTCTCTCACGTCGATTTGACCAAGCCGGGTTCTAAAATGACAACGCATGCATATGAATAAAAATACATTTGATAGCAGCGTACTGAGCGTATCTACCGTTACAATAGAAGGAGGTTACGCATACAAGGAAAACATCTCTGGGCCATACCTTTTTTCAGAATGCAGCGCTTAGTCGAGGTACTTAAAATAATTGGCCTATATTTGGGCGGTACAGCATCTGCACAATAATGAAGTACATCAATCACTGTGCTTGGTTAAGAATTGTGTGCTTATGACATGAGACTTTTTCTTATTTTTGAAAGGAACCTTGCAATGCCAAAAATCACTGTGCTGAGCATGTTAAGTAGCTGGGAATAAAGATTCCAAATATAATATATAAATTTGTTCAAGGGTCAGGAAAATGTTTGCACTCTGGGGGAGATTAAAAATAGGAATCAGCTAAACCGGCGGAGGATGAGGGGGGGTCACTTCGATCGCTGCATATTTATATTAACCAGAGCAGTCAGTTACTAGGAGCAAACTCTTTTTCAGACCAAATACATCGAGTTCCCTCTTTCTTTAATCAAATGCATTTCTGTCTTCTGTAATAAATGTCTTCCAAGGTGGTATGTGATCAATGATTTCAAAAAAGCAATAATGCAGAGGAATGGGTAAGACCCCCCCCCTCCCCACACCGCACACAAACACACACTCACACACACACACACACACTGGGAAAAGAAACTGTTGTCTAGTAAAATTCCATCGGCATGCACTCAAAACCCCCATAAAACCTTTTCAATCTATATGTTAATGCCACGAATTAAAATTTAATAACAAGAGATATTGAAAAGCAGACTTGAATTATACAAAAATAAATCCTGAAAGATCAGGGCCCTAAAATTAGAAATTCAAGGCAGCATCCGGTCTGCTGCTAAACCCTTGTAGGCTGGCAGATTAAATTTTTGATGAAAATCAAAATTGCACTGCACACCGACTCAGACGCAGCAAACCTGGCACTATTGTGATTTATGGATTCATTAAACCCACAGGAGTTTCACCTCCCTCCCCTTTTCACTCAAAGAAATGAGATTTGCTTTGCAGAAAATTTGTATTTTCCGAAAAGCTACTCAGGCTCTGCTGTGACTTAACAAAATGGTCAGGGAAGAAAAAGAAGCAGCGTACACAACCACTGCATGTAAACAGGCCTAATTTTCATTGCTGCAGCAATTCAATGTCCGGATGCATTATTCATGAAACAAACAATATTTCTTTTTTTACAAAAAGGAGGCAGAAAAATATGTGAAGAATGCACAGATTTTTTTTTTTTTAATGCAGCAGCTCCAACCCATGAAAAGCCAATTCCCCAGAGACTATTTTCAGACGTTGTCAACACGCCACTAAGAAAGAAACTGAACACACAGGGTTTATGTTTAAAAAAGGAAGAATGTTTGTGCAGACACACCGAGGCACAAATCAGCACAATCTGCAATCATGCTTTAACCAAAAAAAAAAAAAGGAAAAAAAAAAAAGAACTGCAGACGACAAACAAAAAGTGTCCTTGTAACTAAAAAAACAAAACCTTTGCACTACGATAATGAAAATCGGAGCAACAACCATGTTTCTAAAAGTGAAACCCACAGGCTGTGATTTGATCCCTCACCATCTAGTGTTGATCAGGGCCTGAGGGAACAAGTTTCACCTCTCTATCCAAACTATTTGCTCCAAATAGCCTGAATCAAATCCTTTGTTCTTTTTAGGTACAGACAAGAGCAGCATTCCTTTTTTTCCCCCCTCTTTACTTTAGATGAGAAACCATAACCCAGAATGCATTTCCCGCTCAGCATATATCAAAGTGTAAGTAGTTTATTCGTCGCTGCACCGCCACATTAGAACTTCTTACTCGGCCCTGCGGTTATTAAACATACCCATCACTCACCAGGTGATCCGGCCTTATTAAACCTGTGACACTGGTCGCCCCGCGTCACTCCTGCATTTTTATGAGATTTTCCATGCAAAAAAAAGAAAGAAAAAAAAGGTCAGAATCTACAGCCAGATTTGCGCACACCGAGAAAACGATTTCCACCAGCGCTGTCAAATTTATACATATTTGAAGGTCAGCATTTAAATCACCAACAGCAAAATGGCCTCCGCAGTTTCCCTTACATTAAAATAAAAGCAAGCCGTGCAAGATGGGAAAGTGTTTTGGCGTCGGCAGGATTATTATAAACAGCAGAGCCACTGGTTGGGATTGTTTTCCTGCCCTCAAATTGCTGACATGGTCGTTCATTTTCCAGTGCTGTTCCTTTCACTTTGGATAGTTATTTTTCCACTCACACGTTCCCAATCTCTAGGAATACAAATCTAAATTGTTCCATGTTTGGGATTATATCCGTTAACCCACTAGAACTCGTGAATACACATTAATGTATGACAGTACACAAGCAGAAGGAAGGGCGAAAGGACAGTTAATGTGCATGTTAAGACTACAATGATTCAGAGTGGATTTGGAGGCTTTTTATAATGAATAAAAATCAAATAAAAAAAAGGAGCAGCATCAAGTTGCACAGGGCTTCAAATTAGGTAGTCATATGTTGCATAAAGCCTTGTTTGTTAATGCATTCATTAACGTGAAGACACTGGATACTTTTCACTCGTGGTTATATTCACACAAACTGACATTCAGTTCGAAAAGACTATAGACTACAAAAACAGTAGTCTCATTAAAAAAATATTTTTTTAAATGAATATAATAATTTCTCAAATTGACGGCCTGCAGGTGGCGCCAATGACCCACACATTCGAAATGCTCTCTGCCTAAAAATAAAATTAGAAATGTATTTTGACATGACGACACTTTGGTTTCCTCCCGTCCGTCTACAACGACCACCAACGACCACCGGACCGGTCAATGCGGCTGCAAGCGGCGTCGCTGTGCTGAGAGTTTCACACACAGAAACTCCGAAGCTCGCAGCTCAAATTTGCTAGGCAAAAAAAAAAAAAAAAAATCAGAAAACATGGCTGCAGGAGGGATTTTTTTTGGTGTGTGTGTGTGTGTGTGTGTGTGTTTCAGATTGTTCCTCCCCTCCTCGTTCTTCATGTCGCCACTAACGCCTGGTGCCCCTCGCTGCACCCGAAACACACACGGCGACGCACATGCGAAACAACCCGGCCTGCACATGCGACCAGTCCGCACTTACACGCAAACTTCATTACGAGAATTCAGACGGGGAACCCCCCCCCCAAAAAAACACCCACAGACCAGGACTATTTCGGATTTAAAACCCGCACCTGGCGGTAGTGCGAACCTACTGCCGGTGCCTCGGTTGATAAGTACATCGGACTGGGAATAAAACCTCCGCTATTGAAATTTCTCAAAATTTCTAAAAATCTGAAAGAGAGAAAACACAGCGTGTTTTACATACCTCCAAAAACGATGCGGCTCATGCGAAACTGGCTCTCCGCTCCAGAAAATATTCCCTCCCCGACCAGAGGTGACTGCACAACTGCTCTCGCAAAAAAAAAAAAAATTGAATTAGTTATGAGAAATTCCAAATGTTAAATTTTTTTTCACCTGAGCGTTTTTTTTCACCCTTCCGCATCAGCTGCGTTACATTTTTACAAAAGTGTAATGGCGTGATGAATCCTATTTTTTTTTTTTTTTGCCGACGCTCGCACCACTCCGTGCAGGCTCGCCGTTTTCGCCTCGCGCAGGTTCGTGTTGCGGTTCCTCCTGAGAAAATTTCGTCCGCCATATACGAGAAGGGCAGATTCCGAAATTGCAGCGCCGGCCCGTTTATTAGCCCACAAGGAAAAAAAAAAGAAAAAAGAAAAATGGAAAAAAAAAGTCTGGGAAGAAGACAGAAAAATTGTTGGGCGATTATGGAGTTACACAGAGAGAGGAGGGAGGGGGGGAAAAAAGAGTACATTACGCAGAGGAACGATACATATGTTATCGTGTGCACACGTCTGCAGCTCTTACATTGTTAGAGACGTGGCACTATTCAGATCAGATGGTATCATCTGGCTCGGCGAATGTCACGCATATTGGGTTAGTGCACTTACTGGGTCAAACCATCATCGCCCCTTGTCCACTTACATTTCCGTTGATGTCCAAATGTCTTCATTGCCGTCTCATTTAAACAGAAAAGAACATGGACACCCAGCAGTAGCAGTTTTCTTGTGAAACTGTTCGGAACTGAAGTTAATTGTTCCCTGTGGGCAAAGACACTGGTCGAAAAGAGTGACATCAAAGCTGCCCGTGTTGGTGTTGTTTACTGCGGAAGTCTCCACAGTTTGGTTATGAACTCAGGGAAAGGTTTTGGGTGGCCAACACATTTTTCTCTCGAAAAGCTACTCTGAGAATTAGCAATCGTTTTTTCTTCTTTTGAAATAGTTTAGTTTTTGTTTCAGGAAAGAGGAGATTGTGCTGGGATTTTTAAAGAAGGGGTATTTTCCTGTCAACAAATAGAATGCACAACCTCTAATGAATACATGCTGTGGTGATGTATGGACCGTACGTTTGGGTTGAATTATTTATGTACAGTGTACATTCTGTACTGTGCAGTCATACCATCATCATTAGCACTAATAATACAGATTATAGTAATCATTAGAAAGTACTATTATAACATCTCAGAAATGCAATACAGGAAAAGCTTACTTGAGCAGATCAGTATTCGGCTTCAATAGTCCTAAAGACATTAAGTCTTGTATTGTAGACTGTATCTCTATCATGTCAATGATTAATATAAGGATCCATGCACGTAGTGAATTTTTGTTATAATGTTTTCAACTTCTCATGAATCTTCTAAATAATTAACAGATGCATTATTTTAGAAAATGTATTACCTAATTAATTGTTAATGAAAAAATTAATCAACGAATTAATTACTGGTATTATTTAATCTCTGACTATCCTCTTTGTCATGCACTTGTTTTTAGAAGTGGCCTAATAAAATGAAGGTTTAAGTCTTTTCAGGTTAAACTGAATGTGGAACAACAATTCTTAAATAGATTGCTTTGGAAAACTGCAGCATGAAAACCAAGAAAGATCATTTCCAAGGCACCAAATATCCAAGTGCGGTAGGATGGATAACAAATATGGCTTCCTTCCTTGAAAACTGAGTACCCCTGCAAGAATTTCACAGATGGAGGCTAACAAAAAGGCCCACGGCTTCTCTGAAGGAGCTGCATGCGTCCAGGTGCTTCACAGTATGGGTACAGAGAAAGTTACATTTTAGGGGATAAAACGGAAAATACTGAAAAATGTGTAGAAACCGGAATAGTAGGCATCAAATATATGTTTTCGGTGCATCACAGTAATACAAAACCTTTTATTTCTCTGCACATCAGCAGAAAGTCTATCGTAAATCCTGGTGGGGGCAGCATCATGCTGATGCTTCTCTGCAGCAGGCCTTGGAGGGCTTGTGAGGGTGGGGGTCAAATGAATGCAGTCAAATAAAGAAATCCAGGAAGAAACGTGTGCTGTTAACAAAACTGTGCCTTTGCTAAATTACTTTACTAGATTTATAAAAGCAAGAATATCTGAGACAAGATGAAACAACCGTTACCTCATCATGTAAATGATTACTTGTATTATGTATTCTGTATGTTTATAATATGCACACTGGTTAATAAGGTCCTTCATCATGTCTTCTTTAAAACAAGACTAAACATGGTCGTCAAAAAAGATGTGCTTCCCTCTCGTTATCTGGATGGTGTAGTTTTCATTGGTTGAAGATTTAATTATCATGCTAATTTACATTTTTTTCAAATGGCCCTGAGTGAGATTTATCGCATATCATATCAAATGTTTCTCATCTGTTATTTATGCGTTTGTATTCATTTGGTGTAGTTAAGGTTTCATTCCAGCAGATGGCACTAAACTACCAATAAATAGATGCTTCCCTTGTTCCCAGCATTGGCTGGTGATAGACTGGTTCCATTTTTGCTCTCTTTCTCCCTCTGCTGTTTGGAGTGTGCAAGAAAAATGTAACATTGTCTACATGTGGTATGGATTTATAGCTGGGGTTTTTTTCAATTTTTATGAGCTCAAACACAATTTTGAAAACAGACGTCTCGAATAACCCTCAACAGTGTTTTTAAAAAACACACATGTTCTCGTCTCAGACTAATTTCCCACTTCCACTGGCTTTTTGTAAAAAGTTACTCACCTGTGGTCTTTTGGTCAATATGTACTCTAACGATATCTCTGAAAAATATGAAAGACCTTGTCATTAGAAATGTTGAAAGTGTTTTGGATTGAGCACAGCAGTGTGTCACTATTAGATCCCATGGACCGTGTGTGTGTGTGTGTTTGTCTTTTGGCGCCAAATTGGGTTTTATTGAAGAATTGCATAGTTTGAGTATTAAATAAAGCCTTGTTTGTTTTAAATAGTGTATTTGCAAAACCAGCAAGCACAGTGCCCCCAGAACCCCAAAACACTATATATTTTCTATTTTCTACAGTTCAATGTTGTCCTGGCCTCGTATGTGGCTACTTTTTGAGAAATGTTCCTTCAACCGGCAGACGAACCAACAGGTGAGCAGAGCCGACAACAAGGAGGCTATTTTCTCCCAGCGACCTGATTCGACTTGAGAGGTGTTTGCTCGAGAGCTCAGCATTAGAAGACTGTTCCCCTGATGTTACTACAATCTAGGGCTGACATAAATAACACGCTGAAGGAGAACAACAACTGAACAGGTGGGAGGTTTTTTTTGCATGGAATGAATTAAGAAATATTCAGAGCCATAGAATATGTGTGGCCAAGCCAAACAATAATTGTATCTAAAGTTGAACATTCCTTTTGTGTGCTCAATAATCAATATATAAATATAAAAGAAAATGCACTTCCGCATGTTCTTGAATCAATAATATGTAGCATTTTAAAGCTAACATTTGCAAATGAAACATTAGCATTAAATTAGCAATAAAGTAGAAAGCATGTGATGCCTTATGTTGATTAATGTTGAAGTTTTGATAAAAACTGCTTTCTAACTGGCGTTGCTTCAAAAATGTTCTGACTTTTTGACTCTTGTGTTAGAGATACTTTCTATTGTAACCTGTCACAGAAAAATATTTTCAGTTTCATTTTGAACTAAAATAAAAAGCGACCACACTACAGCTCATCGGAAGAGAATGTTAAATCCAAATGTCTGGAAACAGCCAACTCAAAAGTTACCCAAACTGGTCAATAAATGAAGCGATTGTTCCATTTTTGTGCACACACCAAAAATTCACACAACGGGACGCCCGGATTTTGAATGGAGACAAAACCAGTTAGCACACATAGGTTTGCTGTTGTTTGTGTATGTGAAATCCCAAGTGCAGCAGATTTACTCCGAATAATGCGTCTGTGAACAGTCTCTGTTGACAGTTCAAACACAGAGTGTGTGAGAGTAACCGGTCATTACAGAGAAAGACTTCACCTTCTACCCAACATGCATTCCTGGTATGCAAGAAAACAGTAGTTGTTGGCTGGCCGCAGACCGTTAAGAGCAGGTAGGAATCCTGGCTGTTGTTGGTTACGTTGGCTGTGATAATTGCTGGTTGAAGTCAAAGGCCGATGAATGGCCTCCTGCACACAAATAAAGTGTGTTATTTAGAAGAAAGAAAGCTTGTTAATGCTGAAAAATACAACAGTTTGGTTTTCTGGGGATTGATTTTAAAACTGACCATTTGTAAAACTAAATGTACACATGTCTGTAAAGCTGGGTACTTCAGCTTATTCAAATAAACAGTTTGATGTTCAGGGAAATATGTGACATTATAGGAGGATCCTATCATGTCATGTACCTGTGTCCACTAAACGCACATGTAGTTGTTTTAAGATGTGTGTAGCTTCAGTAACCAGAAATAAATGACCAACGTTTAGCACTGTCAAGCTGAAAGAAAAAAATATTGTTATTTGTAGCTGAACATTAAATCATCACACAGTTCCCGTTGCATTTGTTTTATTAGTTTTTTTTTAATGTGTTGGTTATAGAAATCGGTCTACAGAATCACATTGTTGGAGGAAAACTTACCTGTCTGCCGTACACCTCCAACTGGCATTTGTGACTTTTTACCTGATTGCGCCAGTTCCACCCTTTGTCAAATAATACCCCTTTTTGTTGACTTAACAAGCAGATTGTGTAACAACTGTTTGAAAGAAGTTGTGCTTCTTTATGAAACCATGTGAGTAAGCTTCACCTGCTTAACTCTAACGAAAACAGATTCCCCAACACGCTTGGGCCTATTTTGAGACAAATGATCACGTTCCTTTTTAACCTTTTCAACCTGCTGGTTATCGGAGGCTGCTGGCTGTGTTGTTTCTGATCGCAGACCACAACGAGAGTAAATGGCGAAAAGAAAAAAAGCTGGTAATTGCTTTAACGGCAGCTCTACCCTCACATTGTGAGCACCCGATGAGGGAAAGTGAGTAATGTAATTATAGTAGTACGAACTGCCTGAAGCTCCCATGCTTTCAGCCTGAGAAGAAAAAGAAGGCAGTAAGAATAACACACACACACACACACACCTACACACACAATGATTGTGCTGTAAATCTCGGCTGCCCACGATGACAAAGGCATCAATCGCATCTTCGCCACAGTTCTCCACACTGTCCTTTGCTTTTGTCTTGTGCAAAGCTTTATTACTTTCAATTGAATGTGAGGGATTAAAGAAGAAAGTTTGCGTTACCAATTACGTCACCGTGTGGATGAAAAGCGAATCGTCTACAGTCGCTCCTGCGGCTCTGTGAGGTGTGTTTTCAGCTCCTGCTAATAGCGACCAGTTACCATGCTCACAATGACCAGGCTAACGTTCTCATGTCGGCCTGAAATATTTACATTTTAACATGTTATGCTTCCCTAAAGCACGAAAACACAACCAAATCTGACAATGGCGGGGTTTTTTCAGGTGTCTACTGATCATTCTGGGGCTGAATGAAGCATTAGGGAATCAATCCTGAGGGGGACATGACAATCCAACAGCAGTGTAGATATTTCAACTATCAGCCCTACAGCGGCACTACAGGAAGTGACAGTGTCCCAAATCTACCATCTGTCATAAATTGTAGGAGAACAAAACTAAAAGGGCTGA